CCACTATTATTCCATCATATAACCAAAGACATATAAGTTATGAGAGGGCAAACTGCCGGTGAAGGCTTATAATTCTAACAGCTACATTTATAAGCCAAGTACTCAGGCAGTCAGTGCACAGTGTCTGATTTCGAAATGAGAAAACGGATACTTGGAGAGAGAACTTGCACAAGGTCACACAACTCAAATGGCTGGGGGAAGACTGACCCCAGGAAGTCTGGTTCAAAGCCCGCGCCCCAGCGATATAAGGGAGGGGGCGACAAGCGCCTAGCCTCGCTCTTCGCACTCCATCTCCAGTGCTCTTTCCTTACCCCGCACGGCCCCTTCAGAATCCCACCGCGGGAGAGGATCACACAACAAAGGGCGGGGGAGCGCTCAGGAGACCGGTCGGTGTCCCGCAAAACGCGATAACTGGACCCCAGCAAATCACTAGGAAATGGTATCGGGTGTCCTCCTCCCTTCACTTCAGAAAACAGGCCACCTTTTAGACTTCCTCCCTTGGCGGCGAGGAAGCGTAGAGCCCCCTGGTCTGGCTGAGAGCTTACGTAAGGCCAACCGGCGGCTGCGCCCGGGTCTCCCAAGGGTGTGCGCCGAGCCCCCGGCCCGGGAGGGCCTCCCTCCGGCCTTCTCCCCTCGCCGCTCCGCGGAGGACCGCCGGGGAAGCCGGAGACCACCGGCCCCGCGCCAACGGCGTCCGCGTTTGGGAGGGGGCGTCCTCCCGCAGCCACCCAGCTTCCCGGGGGAGGAGCAGCGCATCGCGCAAGCATCCGGGAGCGGCGGAGGGGGCGGGAGGAAGGGCGAGAGGAGGAAGCGGGATTTAAACGAAAGGCGGTGACGCCACACAAAAGATTTCTATAGGCTCCAGGGAGGTTAGGGCCGAGGCGGCGGCGGCGAGCCCGGGGGCGAGGCGCGGACGGGAAGAGGAGAAGCCTCCAGCAGCCCCGGCGGGCGAGCGGGCGGCGGCGCACCCACGGCCGCGCTCCGAGGTGAAGCCGCGCGGGGAGAGGAAGCGGGTGTTTTCCCCTCTGCCTTTCGGCCCCCGCCCTTCCTTTCAGTTTCTCCCGGCTCGCTCGGAAGTTGGAGGTTGACAAAAATGGCAGGAGCCGGGGCCCGGGCGGGTTGCCGCAGCGCCGCGGGGACCTTCTGAGTTGGCTGGGCCGCCTGGGAGACGCGCGCGGCTGCGTCCGATGCACAGGGCCCGGGGTCTCGGGAGAGCTCAGCCGCAGCGGGCCCGAGGCGAGGAGGCGACGGGGATGGACTCGCGCCGACAGCCAGCGGCGGGCCGCGAGGCGCGCGGTCCGGGAGGGCGTGCCGCCTCGGCGCCGGGCCGCCCTCTGTGAACCGGCGAGGCGGGAAGGGGCCGCTGCGGCGCCCGGCACGCCCGGGCGTGGCAGGCGGGCGAGAGCGCGAGCGGGGCGGCCGCTGTGCGCAATCAGTGCAGGCTCCCGCCCGACTCTGACTCGGCCGCGCCAGCACCGGCCACACCCTCGGCCCTGCCGCCGCCGCCGGCGCCGCTTCCCGAGAGCGGGAGGCAGGAGATGCGCCCGGGGCAGCCCCGCGTCCTACAGCGCCAGTCCCGGCCACCGTCGCGGGGAAGTGCCGCCTGGCGGGGTCTGGACGCCTGAAGCCCACGTGCGCCGCCGAGCCCGAGGTGGCTGACAGCAGTGCCGTCCTGAGCCGCCGCCCGCGCTCCTCCCCGAGGAAAGGATTTTGATTTCAAAGAAAGGAAGGAAGGAAGGACAACTCCCAGCTTCCCTCTCCGGCCCTCCCAGCTCCGGCGGTCGGGCCGGGCCATGCCCAGGAAGGCGGCGGCGGCGGCAGCCCAGCAGAAGGGACTTTCCTGGCAGCCCGGCGACGAGGAGAGCGGTCTGTGAGTTTGCTTTGCCCCGGTTCATGGTTCCTGCAAGCCCTCCAAGAGGCCGAACGCTGCAGCCCCTCCCCGCGCCCCGAAGAGCCTTCTGTGTTCTCTGGCCCCAGGGCCCGCTCCGCGCCGCCCGGGCTCCGGCCGCCGCAGCCCAGTGCCCTCTGCCCGCGGCGGTGGATGGCATGATGGTGCGGGGAAGGCACCGCGGCCTTGGCCAGCTGAGTCGCGACGGCCGCGGGGGCGGCGGCATTGGCAGCGGCGGTGGTAGCGGACTCCCCAGCGGCATGCCAGTGCCCCCCGGGCGCGATGGCTAGCGGCAGCGCTGGGAAGCCCACTGGCGAGGCGGCTTCTCCGGCTCCAGCGAGCGCCGTCGGCGGGGCCTGCTCGCAGCCACGTAAGAGGCTGGTGTCCGTCTGCGACCACTGCAAGGGCAAGATGCAGCTGGTGGCCGATCTGCTGCTGCTGTCGAGCGAGGCGCGGCCCGTGCTCTTCGAGGGCCCTGCCTCCTCTTGTGCCGGTGCCGAGTCCTTCGAGCAGTGCCGGGACACCATCATCGCACGCACCAAGGGGCTCTCCATCCTGACCCACGACGTGCAGAGCCAGCTCAACATGGGCCGCTTCGGGGAGGCAGGGGACAGCCTGGTGGAGCTGGGCGACCTGGTGGTGTCACTGACCGAGTGCTCCGCCCACGCGGCATATCTGGCGGCCGTGGCCACGCCGGGCGCGCAGCCCGCG